CCTCGAACAGATCCGCACCCCCGTCACCTTCCCCCTCCATCCCTTCCTTCCCCATCTCTTCCGCGATTTCTACTCTACACGCCTACTCGCTACCGTCTACCCCCACCCATCCCTTCAGCCCGCTAACCCCACGTTCTGCTGGCATATCCTGTTGTTCAGCGTTGCATGGGAGCGATGCAACGTGGTAGAAGTCTATTGCGTAGCCATGGGGACAATCCCCGCCTGTCGCCACTACGAGTCCTTTCGAGCGGCGCTCCTCCGCACCCTCTCCTCCTTCTATCGCAACTACCTCGCTTTCCTCCCTCATAGCAGCGATCGCTTTCCTCGCTTCCACCGGATCATCTGATATGAGGAGCTTCTGGTGACGGTAGAAGGGATGAATCGCTACCTACCCCCACTTCCTCCCCGTCGTCCCCGTGAGCTCCCCTCCATGTACTGCCTCTACTGGCCCATTCCAACTAGACGGTAGATCCCGGTCACGTGACTATCCTCCCCCCCCCCTTCCTCTCTTCATCTAATCGGCAGGGGAAAACGGCACGAATCAGTAAGGTTCGCGAAGATCACGCCATCGACGATGACGTCAACCTATGCTCTGATTCGACGGGCAGCGACAAACTGGGGTGCAGAGCACACGGAGAACCGGCGGACGATTATGGCGTCACCTGGACGACCATCGATAATATCCAGCAGCACGAGCCAACAGATCTACGAAAAGATTGCAATTGAAGATGGCGTCAACATGGACTCTGGCTGGATCGTTTGTTGATACGCTTGGTTCCTCATTCATCACTCTGTTCTCTCTCTCTCTCTCTCCTTCTCCGCCATAACATGCAATCCGGAGATCGCATAATTTTGGAACCCCTTGCGCATCACATATGTGACGAACTACTTTCCGAACCTGTGCTATCTTTCGTACCCTTTTTGCTTGTATCATACCAACCCCATAAAAACCCCATTTCGTTTTTTTGATTTCGAGTGCCGCATTTTGGGTCCCCATCTTTCGGAAGCTTTTACGATTCTCAGGTTCTGCTTTTTCTTTTTGCAATTCGGGAAATACATAGGAATTTGCGTGCGCCTTAGCGAGCGCACTGGGAATTGGGCCCGACAGTTGGGAATTCTGGGATAAGCGAAACTTCGACGTGTCCTTTTTGTGTGTGAATGTTCTCGGTCGCGTTGGAAAAAACTCTCGGAATTTTATGGGGATACGAATAGGCATAGGACTTTCTTTTCCCGCGTCGCTCTTTTGCGCGCGGATATGGTGATTTTAATTTTGAATTGGTTTAGGATGCAGGCAAGCTGTAACTGATTCGGTGCCTTTTTCTCTTTTTGTTGACGGCGTCGCGCATGCAAAACTTTCTCCTCTCTGTCCCCTGCATCGCTCTCTCCCGCGCTCCTTTTTCCTTCCCCCTCCTCTTCCTCTCTCCTCGTAACTGTTTTTCTCCCTCTCTCTCTCTCTCCCGCTCTACTCTTTGCGCGCCCATTTCCCYTTCTTSATCGTCTGAATCTTGGACCCGTCTTGCGCTACTTCTCGCGCCTTTTCTTTTCTCGCCCTTCGAGCAAAGCTTGCGACGTCCGGTCGATCCTTCGATCACTCTCGCCCACCAATCAGACGCGTGGTACGGTAGGATCTGCCTATTGCGCGACGGGTCTGATTGGCCAATCGCCGAGTTCCGAAGGATCAACATGACTTCTATACCGCGCTTCTCTTCAAGTCTTCTCCTCCTGCTTCTCTTCTTACACTTCGACTTTCCCCCTGCATTCTTTCTCCCTTGTCTCCTTCCTCGCCACTATAAATTCCGCAAACGCGCCTACAAATCTCTCTTACGTTCTCGACTCCTGAGCCAGCTTCCGGGAAGCAGTGGCTAGGCAGAGTGTTTGATGCGAGTCGGAAAGTCCTGTCGGGCTGTCGATAGGCTGGCCAGTTGCGCACTTGATCGCCACGACGGACTGTGGGATCTGGGCGAACCGAGTCGAGTTTACGTCAGCGGGGTGACGATCGCAGTGGTGGGAGTTAGCACGCGACGGCCGGGATCGTCGGTGCGGGTATGAGGATCAATGATTGGAGTTGAGTGGGTGATTGGCCCGGGGCCATATTGGAATTAACGGCGAATGCGCCTTTTTTTTTGTTGCGGATCTTTATCTCTGGCGTGAGTGCACGGCGGCAACACCGAACCTCCTCCTTTTGGATCTTGTCATCCCCGTTCTCGACTTTCCTCCCTCATCTCCCTCTCTCTCTTCTATCTTTGAATGATGATGTGTCTCGGTGTTTGTCTCCCCCTTGGATGAGAATGAATCTGTGTGCTTTCCGGTGTGAAAGAACTTCTTCCGGAACTCTTCCATTCATTTCCTATGTAATCCCCGTATGTCAAGGAATTGATCCTCTTGTCTTGTGAACGGTGGATGCGTGTGTACAATTCCCTTGGTTGATTTTTGACTCGTATACCCCTGTCATTTTCGCACCTTCCACAGTGAATGTATGTATGAAGATGCGCGTCTTTTCGTGTTGATTAGACGCAGCCCCCAGCAGGATTTTGTTCGAGAATGCAAGAGTGTTTAGATTTGTAGTTCTGAAAGCCCTCCGCATGCCATCTGCCTTATGCTCCACAACATCAGCAACCGAGCCACCGGGCGGCCTCGGGAAACAAGGCACTCTGGATCAACGCCGCGTTGGCTTACTAAACCTGAGTCGCGGGTCGGTCCCTTAGT